GATCCGGGGAAGGCCAACCAAGCTGATATCCTGTTAGGAGTCTGTTATAGACCACCCAGCCAGGATGAAGCTACAGATGAAGTGTTCTTCAAACAACTGGGAGAAGTTTCACCATCACTTGCCCTTGTTCTCGTGGGGGACTTCAACCTACCAGATGTCTGCTGGAAGTACAATGCAGCAGAGAAGAAACAGTCCAAGAGGTTCTTGGAAGGTGTGGAAGATAACTTCCTAACCCAGCTGGTAAGTGAGCCAACTAGGGGAGATGCCTGGCTAGACTTGCTGTTGGCAAAAAGAGAAGGACTGGTGGATGAAGTGATGGTTGGTGCCGTCCTGGGCAAAGTGATCATGAAATGATTGAATTTTAAATCCTTGGACATGTCAGGAAGAAGGTCAGCAAAACTTCCACCTTAGACTTCTGGAGGGCTGACTTTGGCCTGTTTAGGATACTGGTTGGCAGAATTCCTTCAAAAACATTACTAAAGGACAAAGCAGTGCAGGAAGGCTGGACACTCTTCAAGAATGAAATCCTTAAGGTGCAGGAGCTGGAGGTACCCATGTGCTGAAAATCAAATTCGTGGGAAAGACCAGCGGGGCTGAACAGGAAGGTAGTGCTGGAACTCAGGAAAAGAGAGTTTATCACCTGTGTAAGAAGGGATTGTTAACCCATGAAAAATATAAGGATGTTGTTAGGTTATGTAGACAGAAAGTTAAAAAGGCAAAGGCACAAATGGAACTAAATCTGCCCACTGCCATAAAAGACAATAAAAAGTTCTTTTTCAAATATATTAGCAATAACAGGAGGGCCAAGGAAAACCTTCATCCTCTGCTGCATACTAGGGGAAACCTAGTGACTGAGGATGAGGAAATGGCTGAGGAACATAACACTGCGTTTACCTCAGTCTTTAATAGCCACACCAGCCATCCCCAGGGTACTCAGTTCCCTTAGTTGGACGGCAGAGATGGGGAGCTGATTTAAGTCCCCATAATTGAAGAAGAAATGGTTAGCAACCTCCTGCTCCACTTAGACATGCACAAGTCTATGGGGCTGGATGGGTGCCACCCAAGAGTGCTGAAAGAGCTGGCAGAGGAGCTTTCTAAGTCACCCTCAATCCTCTATCAGCCGTCCTGGTCTAGGGGGCAGGTCCCAAAGGATCTCCTTCTACAATAAGGTGATCTGCCTGGTTGATGAGGGAAAGGCTATGGACATTGTGCATTTGGATTTAAGCATTTGACACTGTCTCACACAGTTTTCTCCTGGGGAAATGGAGGACATTGCCCATGGCCTGGACAGGAGGATTCTTTGCTGGATTGGAAACTGGCTGGATGGCCGAGCCCAAAGAGTGGTGGTGAATGGCAGCACATCTAGTTGGAGACCAGTCACTAGTGGTGTCCCTCAGGGCTCAGTGTTAGGGCCAGTGTTGTTTAATATCTTCACTAATGATCTCGATGAGAGGATCAAGGCCACCCTCAGTAAATTTGCAGATGACACCAAGTTGGGTGGGAATGTTGATCTGCTGGAGTATAGGAAGGCTCTGCAGAGGGATCTGGACAGGCTGGATCCATGGGCTGTGGCCAATTGTTTGAGGTTCAACAAGGCAAAGTGCCAGGTCCTGCACTTGGGCCATTAACAACCCCACGCAATGCTCCAGGCTTGAGAAGCGTAGCTGGAAACTGCTCATGGTAAAGGACCCGGGGGTGCTGACTGATGGAGCTGAGCATGAGCAGCTTGTACTCAGGCAGCCAAGATACAGGCTGGCCTGTACCAGAAATACGTGGCCAGCAGGACCAGGGGAGTGATTGTTCCCTGTGCTGGGCACTGGTGAGGCTGCACCTCGAACCCTGTGTTCAGTTCTGGGCCCCTCACTACAAGAGACATTGAGGTGCTGGAGCGGGGCCAGAGAAGGGCAGTGGAGCTGGTGCAGGGCCTGGAGAATAATATGATGAGGAACGGGTGAGGGATCTGGGGGGGTTTAGTTCTAGGTTGTTTAGAAGAGGGGGCTCAAGGGGGAACTTATCACTCTCTACGAATACCTGACAGTAGGTTGTAGTGAGGTTGGGTCAGTCTCTTCTCCCAGGGAACAATAGACAGGACAGGAAGAAACAGCCCCAAGCTGTTCAGGGAAGGTTTAGGCTGGAGATTAGGAACAATTTCTTCACCGAAATGGTGATCAGGCATCGGAACAGGCTGCCTGAGAAAGTGTCACCGTCTCTGGAAGTGTTCAAAAACTGCTAGATGAGGCCCTCAGTGATATGGTTTAGTGGGGTGGTCTTGGCAATCCTGGGGTAATGGCTGGACTTGATGATCTTAAAGGTCTTCTCCAACCTGGTTGATTCTATGATTCTACCAAGCCATTTCCTTATCCACCGAGTGGTCCATCCATCAAATCCATGCCTCTACAGTTTAGAGACAAGGATGTTGTGTGGGACAGTGTCAAATGTCGTGTACAAGTTCAGGTCAATGACATCAATTGCTTTACCTTTACCCACCAACCCTGCAGCCCCATCATAGAAGGCCACCAAATTTGTCAGGCACTATTTACCCTTAGTGAAGCCATGTTGGCTGTCACCAGCCACCCCCTTATTGTCCTTGTGCCTTAGCACAGTTTCCAGGAGGAACTGCTCCATGATGTTTCCAGGCACTGAGGTGAGACTGACCAGTCTGTAGTCCCCCATGTCCTCCTTTTTTCCTTTTTTAAGAATGGGGCTTATATTTCCCCTTTTCCACTCA